TATTAATGTACATACTTATTGCCGCTAAAAGTTGTTTTTGTTGTAGTATATAATCCCACAAGTAAGGTCTGGCTATTAAAGGCAGGATGTACGCAGACCTTAGAGGTTGTTTCCGATAGACCTTCGACACAATGATGCATTACCAAAACAAGCTAGAAAGCAAAATAAAGGCAGCCATATAGATCTTAAAACAACATTATAAATTAACATGGAAACCATAAAATTTGCACAAAAATCAACAATTTCATTGTGAAAGAACAAAACAATATATGTATATATACATACCTCCATTGATTTGGAGTTTGGAAATAGAGAAATTCTTTCTGGAAATGATTGATTTGATTATGTATTTTTAAAAAGAATTAATTTCTCCTTCTTTCTTTTTTACAGAAGAAAAAAAAAGGGAGAGCCTTTTTTCAAAAAAGGGAAAAAAAGAGAGAGAATCTCTCTCCTTTTTTTCTCTTTCTTGGACTCTACAACTGAAATATGGAAATGAGAGATAAAAAAAGGGAAGGAGGAAAGATAGAAACCTAACAGCTGGAATATATCGACAACCTCTTAAATTTCATAGTAAATAATTCATCGAGAAATTCCAATTATAATATTCATTGATTAATCATCTGAATATATGTTAAGTAGGATATGAGGAGGGTAATATGTCCTTACCTCTACTTCAGAAATGATGTAGAGAGGCCGTTTTTTATAGACCATCGACTTAAGATAAATACTTTCGTAAAAATTACATTGATGTCGATGTGTTTGATTAAAGAAAAAAAATATCTTTATGTGATTAACTTATCTATATATTGGATGATGATAAGCATTCGCAAAAACTTTTTCATGTACTAAAAAAAACATGTTATAGTTTGATTGTGTAAAATTTACTACAAATTTGAAGGATTGTGAATGTATTCAGTATAATCATCATTAGAGGTTGGAGTTAATGTGTCACACAATAGGAATTGAAAAAAATCTTGATCTTTTATGTGTATTAATTCATGAATTTTTTAAAGTATATGTGATCAACTTTGATTAATTTATGAGTACATTGATGACGATCTATTAAATGATACATATTGTTTACAAAAGGCAAATGTCATTTTATGTGTCACAAAACATGAATTTCATAAAATAAAAAAAAAATCGTGTGCATTAATTTATGAAAATTTTAAAATATGTGTGACCGACTATATTGAGCTTAGATATTGCAAGTTTGTTGGTGACAACCTATTAAATGATACTCATTGTATTCGAAAGGAACGTCGCTTTTTTGGAGTGTGTCATGAGACTAGAATTCAGAATTATCTTAATTTTTTGCGTGTATTAATTCATAAATTTTCAGAATATGTGTGATTGACTTTGTTTGAGCTTAAATTTTATGGGTCTGTTGGTGACTACCTATTAAATGATGCTCACTATTTTCTATGGGTTCACATCGCTTTTTTTAAAGCATATGTGTTACAAAATAGGAATTCAGGATTTTCTCAATTTTTTGTGTATTAGTCCTTAAATTTTCTGGAATATGTGTGGCCAACTGTGTTTCAGCTTAGATTTTTTGGATCCATTCAAAATAATCACTGTTTTTTAAAGGGGGCATCGCAATTTTTGGAGTTTATGTGTCACTAAACATGAATTCAACAAAATCTCAACATTTTTAGGAGTTTAGTCCATGAATTATTTTGTTGGTGTTTATATGTCACAAAATAGAAATTGAGAATAATTTTATTTTTTCGTGTATATTAGTCTATGAATTTTTCAGAACATGTCTGATCGACTCTGATTGAAGTCAAATTTAGTGGATACATGTGATATACCTATTTAATAATATTCATTATTTTCAAAAGGCATATATCACGTTTTTAAAAATTTATGTATCACGAAATAGCAATGTAAAATTATCTTGATTTTTCGAATGTATTATTAGTCCATAAAAATTTTGAAATATGTGTGGCCGACTTTGCTAGATCTTATACTCATTATTTTCAAAAAGAGGACATCGTTCTTTTTGGAGTTTATGTGTCACGAAATATGAATTAACGACTATCTCGATTTTTCATTAGTCCCTACATTTTTTATAATATGTGTGACTAACCTCTTTGAGCTTAAATTTTATGGGTTAAGTAACGACCTATTAAATGATACTTATTATTTTTGAAAAGTAAATGTCGTCTTTTTTGAGTTTATGTGTCATGAAATAGAAATTCGAGATTATTTTTATTTTTTATGTGTATTAATCGATGAATTCTTTTGGAATGTGTCGTGACCCACTGTGTTTGATCTCAAATTTTCTGATTGCATTGGTGACGACCTGTTAAATGATACTTATTATTTTTTAAAGTAATGCGTCATTTTTTTTTTTGGAGTTTTTGTGTCGCAAAATGTGAATTCAGAAAAATCTCAAATTTCAGTGTGTATTAGTTGTGCTAAAAAATACAAAATAATTTAAAGGTAATAATATGTTTCACACCCAAAAGAGCAAATGGATTGCAATAAAATTCCAACGTGAACCCATAAAATTCAAATCTTAGATCTAAATATATACTAGACTTACCAGAAAATACACCAATGAGTTAACAATTTTAATGACTATATCGGATATTATTATGAAAATCATAGAAAGTACATGGATATAGCATCAATGAAATAAAATAACAAAAAATTAAATATCTCAATAATATAAAATTGAACTGATAACTAATTAGGATGACTCAATCGACTCCCACCAACCATTAATTTTGTTTCAAACATTAAATCCCAAATCTGAGGATGAAGCTCCAATTTCCAATTGATTCAAGCGATTCTGCATATTAAAAACAAAAGTCTCCAACCAAGCCTCAAAAGTTGACACTTTATCTGCATTGAGCTGCTCAATCGACTCCCACCAACCTTTCTGTCTAGCTTCAATCACTTCATCATATGATTGTTTCTTAGCAATTTCAATGTCTTCTATGGTATCAAGTCCTTCAAGCCTACTTTTGAGTTCGTTCACCTTTTCTCGATTATGAGCAGCGACTAGAAGAGTACTTTCACTTGGTTCCATATTGAGATTCTGAAAACGAGAAACAACTACATCAACATTTGGGTGAAAAAACGAGAAAGGATTACCTGTCGGAGAGAAAAAAATCATTCCAATATCGACATCGCATTCAAATACGAGATCGCTAGCCTTTTTGTATAAACCCGTACGACGCTTTGAGAAGCTAGCATATAGGTTATCTTGCTTTTCTATTTTTTTCATTGGTATCTTTTGGCGTCCTTTACTTTTCTTATTCTCCATGGTTAATTTATCACCAAAATGAATAAAAATTTATTAATGAAATGTTTTATGAGAAATGATACTTAAGAGAAGGGAGATGACACAACTATTTATATACATCAAAATTTTCATTGCATTAAATATCTTTCTATATATTATATTGGAAAATGATCTGTTTATCATAGTGAAAATAGGAAATACAATCAATTTTATTCTTAATATGTGTTTTCCATATCAATCATATCAGTGAAATCTAGACTAACTTTAAATCATTGAATAAAATAAAATCTAGACTTTTGAGTTAAATCATTAAATAAATAAAATCTAGACTTTTGAGTTAACTTAATAAATAGAATGAAATTTAGACTTTTAAGTTAAATCAATAAATAAAATGAAATCTAGACTTTTAAGGAAAAACAATAAATAGTTTACTATAATCATAATATTTATCAAGTTAGAAGGGCCAAATATAAATATAATTTGAAGGAACACCAATTACATACCAAAGATTTTCAAATTTTATGGACTAGAACCAACTATTCATATATATTAACAAAAAACAAATTTAATATTAACCAAAACCAAAAAACAATCCTTTTGTGTTTAATGTATTTTATAATGTATAGGTAGTTAGCAACTTATTGAACTTATAAGAGATACAAATTTCATACCAAATCCTTCATATGCATCAACATCAAACAAACATTATTTTGAATAGGGAAAAAAATTTGAAATATATCTGAACTTTGACTGAAATTGTTGTAACAATAGCAAACTTTGAGAAGGACCTTTTACCCCTGCAATATTTAATAGTGTATTTTAAAGGTATATATATACCCACGTAGACATCATAATTATTGCAACATTATAAATAGTAATTTGTCCACGTGGACACATATATACCTTTAAAATACACTATTAAATAGTGCAGGGGTAATAGGTCCTGCTCAAAGCTTACGATTATTATAGCAATTTCGATCAAAGTTCAGATATATTTCATCGGTCAAAAGGAGTGACATGATTCCGGGGCAATCGAGTGCATTTCAGAAAAGAAACTTACAAGTTAGAAAGTTGAAAAACTTACGAGTTGACCAAAGTCAATATTTGAGAGAAACGAACTCAAAGTTGAGGCTTGAAAATTCCTAGAGGTTCAGTCCAGATGGTGATTTAGACAACTTGGACAAGTCTTGTGAGTTGTATACTAGTTAAATTGAAAACAAGTCATTTACGATAAAATATGTGTCTAGCCAATCCCAAATAGATCTTTTAATTTTTTCCAACAAAGACTATGATTGTAGTGATTTGAGTCTAGTAACAAGTATCACGAAAACAGTCATGCTTCTATGATCATGACGTAATTTTTTATTTATTTATTTTTAAAAGCAATTCCGCTAAGCAAAGTGTGCCTAGAGCTAGTTTTTATTAATAAAGAAAAAAGCACCTCAAAAAGAAGTACAATCAAAGAAAGCTAAGCCTTGCCTTACTAATCATGACGTACAAAGCTTTCATTACTAAAAATACCATCTTTCCCGAGGATAAAAACTGATCAACAAAGGTAAAAAATAGTGGTCTTTCAACTAAAAACCAACCAATTTGTGGAATGAAAAAACGACTATTAACCATTGTTTCCTCCCCTTTGAGCAACTTGACAATGTAAGTAGGAGGTGCTACTAACAACATTAACCACCAACTTCCAATAATGCATATGGCAATACACTTGCAGTTTTCGAATATTAACTAGGTATTTATACTAAACAACGCCAGTTTTTCACATTCAAAGAATATGGAAACAAGAATGCAGCACCTTCCAGTGACATTTCTCCAGAGCAAGAAAGATTGAAGAACTGTGCACACAGTGAGATTTCTACAAGGCGTATCATCACAGGTTTAGTTAAAGGAAAAGAAATCTTGAGACATTACAGAAACACAAGATACACACAAATTGAGTCACTTTGTAATTATTTTAACACAGAAACAAATCCAAACGCGGTTGTAATTGCAGCATCTGCAAAAATAACCTTTCTTCCGAAGCTAACTTCTTATAGAGTCTTTGTTGATGACTCGTAAACTCCAAAAACAAATCTTTTGCCTGGTTTGCTTTTATGTATGCTTCACTTCCTGAGTGAACTATTATCAAGTCTTGGCAGATACTTTTTGCCTGATATATATCCTACACAATAACGAGAAGACGCAAGGGGGAGAGCAGTCAGCTTCAATAAACTGAAATCAAACATTTGATGTATATAATATGAAATACACATCATAAAAAATCACATGTTCAGGGCTTGAAGCTCCTCAATAAGTTTAAAATTCTTTTTAAAAATTATTTCCTGCAATCCTCAAGTATTTGCTTTGTATCTAGACTAGTCTGTCCAATCAAGATTCCACCACACATCATATCGAACGAAACCAATTTCACCTCATCAGCCTAAAATTTCACTTTCTTTTTCTTTATTGCAAGGACATCTTATTTCTTTTCCTTCTGGCTTCTTCATTGCTGTATTTCATTTCCATACTTGATTTTGATTTACTTTACTTGAGCCGAGGGTTATCGGAAACAACCTCTTTACCTTCACATGGGTATAGGTAAGGCTATGTATACACCACACTCTCCAAACCCCACTTGTGGGATTACACTGGGTATGTTGTTGAAGCACTTACACAATTATGTGTAAAAGCACATTTCTCAAGACCATGAGTATACAAATTTACTACAGATATATATGATTCCTAAATCTTAAGAGCAATTGATCCCACATCCTCAGCTCTCCTGTTATCTCGCAGTTAACGTCAATCTAAATTTGACTGGTGACAACTGGGCATCCAGTTTTTCACTAGTAACAAGTAACTATCAGATATGCATGCTTCTAGATTATCAAGAAACTTCATGTATATGATATTTTCCAATATGTCAACCAAACTCATTTCTGAAGTAGCACTGGCAGTAGGATGTGCTCAATTATGGCTCATTTGTTGTCTTACAACCATTATTAAATTAACCAATACATGGTATGAATCTTACCTGGGAACTGTACATTAAGCTCCCAAGTGATGTCTTAATCATGGATTGTCTCATATCTCTTTCACTTATAACCATCGGCCTGTAAAAGGGAAATGGAAAAAAGTAAATAACCCGTTAGGCATTCATCAATCTAGAAGACATATGAACATCATGAAAATTTGGCTCTTAAGTGTTAAAATGAAATAGGATCTACACATTTAGCAAAAATTATAGAGCTATATTTAAGGATATCTGAATTACAGAGGTATGTTAAACTACATCAAAAAATAAAGACCCAAGATGGTGCACACAGAACCAAAGTGTAGCACTTCCTTTCCAGCCCTTTCACCTTTAAAGTAGATATCGGGGATGATAGAATTAAAAAAAACTTTCAACTTCTGAAAATGAGAAAAAAAAACAAAAACAAATACTCAATGAACATGACATTTTTTCAAGCAACTGCTAGTTAAAAATTGGGAAAATAGTCTGTGTGGCCTAATTTGTACATATCAATTGTGGACACCAAGGCTAGCTAGGACAGATTGGAACAAGTCACCTAGTGATTTTTTTGTCTCTGCAGGGATTAGAATCTGAGAATTCATGATTCATAATCCACTTCATTGACAACTAGGCTACACACTACGGTGCTGGGAAACTTTCTTTAGTGTCTGTTCTTTCTTTTAATAGACTATAATATGACAGACCGGAACGTAGGATCTTGAAATACCTATATCACAGGAACTCTAAACGGTGAACAGCATTGAATGTGAAAGGCAAGTGCATTTAACAACATTTGATCTAGAAAAGAAGTAGCAGTAAACAGAAGTTGAGGACATTTTGTAGAGTTTCATTGAAGTTAATTTGCAGAGTAAAACGAAGTTTTCAACTACATATATAGAGAAATCAGGAAAAACAAAATAGTGCAGAACGCATAGAACTTCAAGCGATCCCCAAAAATAATTGGGTGAATAGCATATGAAACTATATTTTTAGTCCAGAGATGTCTTTCAAAAACAATCCCAACTAGTCACCAAAAGTGTAGCAGTAGTACCTAGCGTGGAATTTCAGACTAATAAATACCATCTATAGGAACCTTTACAAGGACTCAACCATTTCAAATGTTGTGCTTTTCTTTTTCTTATTAAAGATGGAATACCATTCTAGAACCTCTAGTTCAACTTCGGATCAGTTTTGACTGTCAGCGAGAGAGAGAGAGAGTCTAACTGCAGATGCAGCTTAAATAACAGCAATTCGGGTGTCCAAATTGCAGAAGCACCAAAATTATCAACAAAAGAAATTGCAGAAGCAACTAAAATCAGATGGCATTGAGCAGGATATCACTTTCACCAAAGTAAATTCAGGACCAAGAAAAAAGGCTGATGCTACTGATGCAACCACAGAGCAGGCCTCAAACAAGTGGTGCGGCCGAATTTTACTAAGGTTTTAGCAAATCACAAGCTCAGGAAATGTAAGCATGCCATACTACAATTCTTTTTCCCAAAAAAATGGAAAAAAAAAAAGTTTGAGAAGACAAGCATGCTTGATAAAACTTTACATCATGAATACGTGCCGAATCTATCTACACATCTAAAATAGTTCAAGTGGCTGGTAATTGTGGCACAGAAACTCTTCTAAGCAGAATATCCAAAAAAGGTATTTTAGCAAGTTTGATCCACGCCAAGCATGATTTTTAGCTGAATGAAAATGTGTTTTAGCTCATAATCTGTATAGAGGAAGGAACCAATGATTCTGATACACCCATACAACATAACTCTAATGGAAGATAGATTTTTTTTATTTTTTTTATGAAGTAAGCATCCAGTCTATGCAATACGCAGGGGGATCAGTCAGCTAAGAACAAAAAACTTCCAGAGTTGAGCTGACAAAATCCTGGTAGTGATCTAAGTTATTTACAGGGGAAGAGTTAGCCCAGCTAAAAAGGTTAACCAAACAACTAGCCTTACGCCTAAAAATTGAGTTAAAACTCCATTGATAAATCTCCTAATTTCATTCCACATACACCAAAAAATAAGGGCTGGGGTCATGATCTAGATTTTTCTGATAGATTTTCTAACGGGAGATATATTCTAATAAATACAAGTCTAATACATGTGGTAATGGTATAGAACACATGAATGAAGCCTAAATATTAATAATAAAAAGATCTTTTAAGTGAAGACACTAGAATGTAAAGAGAGAAGGTTACAAAAGGATCAACAACTACTTAGAAAGGAAACTAATTCTGGAAACGTACCTTCCCTTTGAGGACACAACAAGGTGTGTTGGATTGTCCAAAAAACGGTTTATTTCTTTAAGCTTCTCTTCACAATCTACCACGATAATGCCTCGTGCATAGGGCATATATGATGGGCAGGGGGAAATATATGCTTGTGACCAAACAGAAGTGTGCTTATGTATGAAATCTCTCAATGAAGAAGGGAACAAGGTTCTCTCCAAGTTCTCGACTAGCATGAGATGATAATTTGAACATTGTCCTCCTAGATCTTTATCATGATCCCAATGCCTGCTAGAGTCTGTTGCTGCAGTTCAGAATGAAGAACTTAGAAAAAGTGCAATTACCACATCGTAACAGGTGATGGAGTTCCGTAGCACACCTTCTGTTGTACATCTCACGTCAACTGCATTCTTGGCACTGCTAATCCCCTACAAGGAAAGGAAGAGGAGAATGATATAGGCACATGCATTATCACTCAAATTACTGAATTAGAAGGTGATAACTTGCCTTAAAGGACGAATCTGACTTTTGTTCAGAAGACAAATATCTGACTCTTTTTGTACGGGATGATCCTTTGGATGCTGAATTGTTTTGCTCAGATGTAGAAGTTGACTTGCAAGAAGATTTTCTGAGTTTCTGGTTTACCAATTCCAAGAAGGAGGATATTCTAGGATCAACTTGTGTTGTGCCTTTTATGATACATATGCCTTCAATTCCAGAATTAGCCAAGTCATCCTTTTTTGGGCCATGAAGCCAGGATAGTACAAAGGTACATACACACTCCTCCACGCCATTGTGAAACGTATGGTTCTCGTTATGTATCTACCAAAGAGAATAAGAAGAAAATTTGAAGAAAGTGAATTAAGCCAATGAACCAATGTGAATCAAGTAGCCCTCTCCTTTTCCTCTTTGAGTCCTTCTACTTTGACTTTATATGTTATGATAAACCCACATTTAGAGCAACAAATAAAACTGATACAAACTTTAATGAGGTTCAGCAAAGATGTCAACGTCCTCAAGAAAGACGGTAAGAAAATTTCAGTATGCTCAAAAGAACAACAGCAACAATCTTTTTCCAAATTCTTAGAAATTTTAGTCCCCAATATGTTCACAAACCCACTCGCTTATTTTGTCTCACACTCTATCCCTCTTCCTTTTTCTTTCCTATCACACCCTAAACTGTACAGAAACACTACTAGAATGATCATCTTTAAAGAATTTTTTTTATCACAGATAAGGAAATACTGAGAAAAGAGTCTGCAGTATCTTATTAATATCAATTACCATAAAACTCAACCCACATCAACAATTGCTCCCTTTGCTTGAGCCTTGAAGTCCTCCATTATCAACAAGGAATTATCTCATCACACCATCTTGCCAAATTACCTTCACAAGGCATCACCTAGTACTGCCAACTCCAACTGAGTCTTGGCAATGCCTAGACTACGAACCGAAACTGCCTTGATCATAATATCTGATGGATAGACATTTGTAGAAATCTTTTGACAACTATAATACCACTGGATACAATATCTCTACTGAAGTGATATTTAACAACAATATTCACTGTACGCTCATGATACACTCATTCTTAGTGAGATGAATGGCACTCTTGACTGTAACAAAATATTGATGCCTTGCTCTTTTTTAGCCTGAATTCAGTCACTTGGCCACAATAACTGCTTATCAGCCTAACTTCATTCATCAACCTGTGGCCAAATAAATGTTTTATTGCATCCGTAAGAGAGCCACTTACACAGACTCCATGATAGACAATGCAACTTTAGTTTGCAAAGTTGCATTCCAATTGACATTACCAGTCACCACCACAATGAGTAAGCAAGTAGCCTGTTAAATATCTCCTCCTACACAAGTCCTCAACATAGAATGAATATGTCATCTTGCTTTTCGCTGAATGTCAGACCAATATCTGTACTACTCTTCAAATATCTCAAAATTCATTTCACTGTTTACTACAGCTCAAAAAAATTGCTTCACTATCTGCTACTGCTTTTTTCAAGGACATGCCAGATTTCTACTCACCTGGGGTGGATGTAGGCTTTAAGGTATGGGTTCACCAGATCACAATAGTGTTGGCCCATACCATGTATATGTGCTAAGAGATTCACTAACTATGTACAGAAATAAAAGTCAGAACTCATTACTAGAACTTGAGATTGTCCGTAACCCATAAAGGCCAAATCTTGGATCCATTTCTGCTACTCACCACACTAACAACATAAAACATGTTCGGACACTGCACTACATAATGCTACCAGTGCATATATTTCAGCGTTACTTCTTATCTTAACACCCTTATTCTATAGGGTGATTCTCCATAATCAAGAATTTGGTTGACACCCTCGCTAGTTTTGTCTATTAACACATTATCATTTGCGTATAGCTATGCAATGGAACCTCTTGCTATATATCGTAAGTTAAATCCTATAACTAAAGTGAGCAAGTACAGAACTACATGCTCAATATCAACCCCTGGTGAACCCATAATAATGGGAAATTCCTTTGTATATCCAATTACTGTTCTCACGCTAGTTTTTTTGAAAATGCACTTTCATACATATCCATAAGTAATTTTTGTTTTGTTGTAACTTGTCAATAACATAAAAGTTCAACATTCTTATTTCATGCTTTTTTTGATAGTTGAAAAGGCACAGAAGATTACTTGCAACTGTTGATAACAAGGAAATAAACACTCCATTTAGAGCTGACACATCAAAAGAAAAGTACATATGCCATGAAAATGTTGCTCTAGTGAGCTTATAATTCGGTATGACTGAAAAAATTGCCTAAATCACAAATTAGTGATCAACTCATCAACCAGACAACCACATGAACACTATGTATCCTTGATTTCTAAGGACTCATCATACTTAGACTATGTCAACCTACGTCACCTTCCTCCTTTATCTGTGCTTAGGACCTATGCAATGCTAAAAGATAACATATGCGAGTTGATTACTTAGAAATGACTGTGAAGAAGTTAATACCAAGTAATATTAATCAAGATGCCTCAATCCTGAATTAGATGTGATCAACCACAAAATCCTCTGTATCCTTGAATTCAAAGGTTCATCATAGATAGACTATGTCAACCTTCCTCACCTTAACTTCCTCTTTTCTAAGTTGCTCGGACTCTTCACTTTCGGTGCCGCACCCATGTCGACACGATGTGGGTGTGGGTGTGGGTGTGGGTGTGGGATCCATACCCGATCTGGTCAATCGGTACTGGATACTTTGACCAAATTCAAGGGAGAAATTCTGGGAAGATTCAATGATTTTTGTAATCTTATAACCTAAGATGAAATTGAAGAAAATGAAATACCTTGTATATATAAATTTCTATTAGTACTCCCTTTCCTTTTATCTCCTTCCAAGATTCTCCTCTTGATCATTATTTTCTCCTCGAGTTTTCCACATAATATCTCATAATTTACGCTTTATACCTCTATTTTTAGCCGAATCCCCGCACCTGTATCCACACATGGATCCATATCCCCGAATCTTAAAATTAGGTCACAGAGGATCCAACCTCTAGATCCACACCCGTATTAGACACCCGCACCTGAGTCCGAGCAACTTAGCCTCCTTTTATTCCATGACTAGGACCTCTATGTTTGCAGAATATTCAGATAAATTTCTAAAAAGGCTTAATACATAACCAGCCCCTTAAACTTTAGACACTCGAACTAAGTCAAAATTCAATTGAACATCTCAACTCCTAATAAAGTGTTCCAATTAGACACTTAAGGTTCAAATTTTGGAAAAAAATGTGTCTTCTCATTCTTCTATTAAGTAATTGAATCAACATACAAAATATGTCATATGCATTTGTCTCAGCGATATTTTCTACCTGAGGTTGATGATATATTACTTGTAGTTAACTTAAATATCTAATAGATGAATGAAAACATGCACAATTTTTTTTCAATTTGAACAGCTTATCGAGTTAAAGGTGTTCAATTTGAACATGACTTAGTTCGAGTGGAATATTCTGCCACTGACTATGTGTTAAGCCTTCTGAAAACCTATGCTCATACTCAACATCTGGAACTGAGAATTGAACAGCATCAGAATGTAATAGAAATAGCTACTTCGATTAAATACATCTCAAAAAAAAATTAAAATTTTCTCATACTTCAAACAGTTCATAACTCACCGCTTCAACAACGGCATCGTAGAAGAGCATATCGTCTTTGCCGAAAGCATTACAAGCCGCACAGACAATCATCCCTTCCTTAACACTACCGCATTCATTATCCTGTAGCTGTGGCGAGACATTCCTAAACTTCCTGACGAATTCATCGATTTCCTCCTTCGATTTGAAGTCATCAGCAAGGAATTTCACATCGAATTTTTCAGAATATCCCTCGAACTTCACCGTCATCGTTTCACCGTCCACCGTGACTAGCACACCGTACCATGAGTCATCTCCCTTGTACCGATGCTCTAAATCGTACTTCGCCGGATTTCCGTCGGATTTTTTCATTTCCGGCACCGGTAAATTCTTCAAATCTTCTGGAAACTTCGAGCGTATGTGTACGTATCTTTGAAAATTGTGGGAAAATGGAATTTACAGTAATCCGTAGCTTTCCCATGTCATTTATTTATTTTATATTTATTTGCTTTTTGTTGTTTTGGGAAAGGTCAAATGCTTCGACTGCAACAACAACAATAACAAATTTCGGAGACAGAAAGTAAGCAGATTTTATTACTATGTTCATTATATGTAGAAATAAAGAAGTTATTTTTAAAAGAATCTCAATGTAAGTGTATCAAACTCGAGTAACACACTTAGATTGTAACAAAAGGTTTAAATATAGTACTCCATCTGTTCATTTTTAATTGTCATGTTGCGTTTTTTGAAAGTAACTAATTTTCAATGTTAAATTAGATTACATTTATTCGATATTTAAAAAAAAAGATATTCAAAAACTATACAAAAAGTACTACTCCCTTCATTTCAAATTAATTGAATTTTTGAAACATTTTTCATTTTTCAAATTAACTTAATTGTTCAATTTTCAAGACTACTTTTAGAATATTCTTCCAATTTTACCCTTCATTAGTTAGTATTGGAATTAGTTATTAATTAATGTTTAGTTATTTTAATCATAAATTTGACAATAATTAATAAGGGTAAAACTGGAAAGTTATGCCTAATTTATGTCTTAATCTTCTTTTCTTGAAGAGTGTGAAACACCTCAACAATTCAATTAATATGAAATGGAGGGAATATAAATTGTAATTTTTTACATATCGATATGATGAAAAAATACATCGTAAAATGTTAATCAAAGTTTTTGTCATTTGACTTTAAAAAAAAATCATGGCAACTAAAAGTGGATAGCTAGGAATACTTCATGTATTCACTTTTTTTTTTGGCTCATTTATGTTGTTTAGATTAATTGTCTAATGAGTTGAAAAAAATATATTTAAATTTCTCGTATAATTTTATTATTGATTTAATTTTAAACTCGGATTTTCATTAAATAAATTTATCCATCCAATTTTCTGGCTTACCACACCCAAATTCTTACTAATTTTTGTTTTTTTTTATATATATTCATCAAATTTATTTTTCATGAAAAAAGTCAAAATTTCGAAAATTGAGTTCTACAAAAATAAAATTATAAAAAGAAAGGTAAATCCTAACCACATCCCTGAATGGATCCTAGGATGCGGGATTCGATTTAGTTGAAGCTCCTAGCTCTGGACACCAGGCGAGAAACCAGAAACAAACCAAGAAAGTTCGCATTTTTCTTCAAAAACCACAACTTTTCTTGCACTATGTCAAAAATACACATGCTTATGCAAATGATCATATATCTGCACTACAATGTCCTGCTTTCATTCTTTACCCCAAAACACTAACCTTATGTCTACAGAGAAATACTACACAATGTCACGAATACGAAATTATAGTCCAAAGTACACTAGAAAAGAATGAGGCACTTCGAAATCCTATATATAATGCTTAGACATTGCTGGTCTGTATGTGGCAAGAGCATTTAAACTTGTTCCTTCTGTGCATCATTAGGATTCTTTTGCGTGTTGTCAATGCTCGTATCGTTCCAATTCTTGAGCTCTTCTTCCGAGTCTTCAAGAGTAGTACTAAGATGTTGTGTCTTGTACTGATGTCTCGTGGAGAAAACAAGGAACACAAAGTAATTGAGTACTCCGAGTACTGCTAGCATCCAGTAGAAGTAGTCTAGCTTACCGTTGTTCAAGTTGTTTTTAAGCCAGCTTCCGTTTGTTACCTTATGTACAATTGACACTAGTAAGCTACTAATAAAAAATCCCATTGAGAGCGTGCTGAGGAATAACCCGGTGCTCATTGATTTCATCCCTTCTGGTGCTTCCCTGATGAAGAATTCGAGTTGTCCAACGTAGGCAAAAGCTTCACCAGCACCAACAATGAAAAACTGAGGGACTAACCAAAATGCACTTATGCTATAATTGTGGTTTATCGCGTTTTCCCTTCGTTGTTTCTCTACAACAGCTGCAGATACCATACCAACAATAGATAGTATTAGTCCAATTCCAACTCTTTGAAGGCTTGTGAGTCCTTGTCTATTGCCCGTGATCTTTCTAGCTATTGGTACGGTGACTCTTTCGTTTATTGAAGTAAACAAGAGTATAGAAATAAAGAGAAAGACGGAAAATGAGCCTGCTGGGATGCCAAATTTGCCAACATTTCGATTCATGAAGGTAGCTTGCTCGATACTGAAGGTGTTCATTTGAGAGTAGACAGTCCAAAAGAGTATACATGTAGACCATATAGGAATCAACTTAAGAACCATTTTCACTTCTTCGACTTGACTAACCGTTGATACTATCCATGAATTGATTCTGTTTTCATTTGCAACTGCATAATCATCAAGAATTGCTGCCTTGTCTAAACACCTGTTGATAACAAGAACACATTCATTAGCTTTTGTTCTTATGTCAGATACTCTTAATGTTATGAGGGAAAAGATACGAGTTTGGTCCAACGCGGACAATATCTCACCTCAGCATTTTTGTATGTGGTACTTTTGCATTGTGATATTCATTCAAGAATCCAGGATCAGAAGGGTGGGAAAATTTCCTCTTTCTCCAAGCCAAGATCAAAACTCTCCATATGATAGTCAAAGGACTTCCCTCTGGCTTCTTAAATCTATACAACGATGTTCCGCCAAGCAAAACTGCCACAGCTAGTACCATTGTGCCAGCTGATATACCATAACCCCACCCCCTTCCAACATAGTCTTGTATATACACTAGCACAGTCACAGCAAACAAAGATCCAAGGCTAATGCAGAAGTAGAACCTGTTAAAGAAGTATATCATGGCCTTATTCTCTTTAGGATTCGACGAATCAAATTGGTCTGATCCAAAACCAGACACACTAGACTTGATCCCTCCACAACCGAGCGATATGGTGTATAATGCTGCGTAGAGGAGAGCAAGCTGCTGCCCGCTTGCTTCGATGCAGTGGCCTTTCAATCTTGAGTCGCACACGGGAGGCTTCATACTTGGGATGGATGTTGCAAGTGTCAACAGTGTTACTCCCTGGTTATAGACACAAAGAAGAACATATTATGTTACTTAAAAAGACAAGTTTACTCTCTCAAATAACTTAACCATATAAGACGAGATAGTCACACAATTCAACATGATATCAGAGCAGGTAGAGATACTGCAAGAACTTCATGTGTTTGTTTCAAATGTAAAAGAATAAAGCTCGCAAGTATCATTAAGTGAAACAAAAGGTATGCTTTCTCTAACAGTTTAAGCTTACCACAGCGGCTATGCAACCAAAGGTTGCAATAGTGGCATAACGTCCGAGTTTAGCATCAGCCAAGAAACCACCAAGCAGTGCAAGAAGATTGAGTGTTCCCATGAAATTAGTAACAATGTTGGCAGAATCAGAAGATGGAAGATGTAAATCTCCAACCAAGTAAGTCACCAAATTCATCGATATCCCCATAACACATATTCTTTCTGATAACTCTGTACCTGAAACAGAACAACTAAGTTAGACACACATTTGTGCCATGATCAAGAAAACACAAAGTTAACTAGCCTACCTAGAATAAGCCCTGCACCAAGCCATCCTCCGGTACGTGATTTATCAACTGGATTTCCACGAAAATCGACTAGACCTCCATCAGTTGAACCATCTTTTTCAGCATTGTTATGAACCAAAACCTGTGAATGAATGATTGAAAGAAAGATAACATAAGACACCATAACATGAACAAATTTATCTACTTGAAATGAGTTTAGGATATTACCATTGTAAGTAGAATTTTTTGTGTTTACTAAGAGAGAAAGGAGATAGAAGAGGATAGTTAATTTGTGGAATAAGTTAGGAGGGGAAGGTATGTATTTATAAAGCAAAAAAAAAATAGAGGAAAAATGAATGAATGATTGGGCAAAAAGTTGGAAAAAAAAAAAGGTAGGCAAATGTACAACAGAATTTCATGTTAAATATCTTTCTAGATCATAAGGTAACTAACTGACTGATTGAGATATGATTATGTGGTCAAAATATTAACAAACCCCACTAAGAAATAAGATTGAAAAATGTCATTTTTCTTTGATCTGAAAGTGCTTCTTATCTCCACAGAAAACAGCATTATTTGGACCAAATTGTAAGTTTGAAAATTTGGTGTTATCTCAAATAGGTGTTGTAACATGTGGAAAAGTGGGAAAGAAATTTTGTGGCCAACACATAGGATCAATTGTACCCTTCAAAACTCAGATTATTCTTCTCTAGTTAAATACCAGACTTAGGTCGCACAACATACATAAACTAAGTCCTAGGGCGATACGTGGACCAACCTTAGCTTGAATGTCACTTTATCAGGATTCAACTTGTTTGGAACAAAAACATAGTTATTACCATTGGATTTGACTTGGGAAAAGTGAAAAAAAAAAGTCTTTGATGGAACTATAAAACAGTCGAGTGTTTTAAGATAAAATTACAAACAAATAAATATGTCACACCTCTTTGCTACTAGACAAATATGTATAGGGACATATGAAGCATCAATTCATGGATGAAATTATTTCGTGTGGTATTTCTCTAAAAGGTATGCCGACTAATCTTTTACTCCCTCCATTCCATATTAAGTTAATTTTTGAGGCATTTTTCATTTTTCAAATTAACTTAATTGTTCAGTTTTCAAGACTACTTTTAGAGTGTTCTTCCAATTTTATCATTCATTAGTTAGTATTGAAATTAGTGATTAATTAATATTTAGTTATTTTAATCATAAATTTGACAATAATTAATAAAGGTAAAAATGGAAAATTAGGTTTAATTTATGTCTTAATCTACTTTTCTTAAAGGGTGTGAAACACCTCAAAAATTAACTTAATATGGAATGGAGGGAGTAATTTATTTCGGATGATCGAGAAATTCGTCTTGAGTTCAATTTTTAGGATCAATTATACTTTCGAAACTCAAGAATAATAGTCTCGCCCCTCTATCTTTTTTTCACTTAAGTACCATGTATATAGTTCGCATGGAGCATGATTCGAATATGTGACATAAGTCACAAATTCCTCAATCTTGGTCAGTTGAACTAATTAAGCCTTGT